GAGGTTAGCTTTAATTAGCTTCAGGTTTATGGTTAATATACTGTCGAGTCTTAGGGTGAAGTCACAAATTCATTCTGTAAGGGGGAATGACTGTAAAGTGTCGTCGAACCATAGCTGAACTTGCTATCATTAATTGTAGGAAAGCAATTTAAACATATATCAATTTCAACCGATTCTAAGTAAATGCAACGATTGATTCATGTTTTTCACAAATGATGGTGATAGATGGATGAAAAGGAAAATTGATTTAACAATTGTTGTGTAATTTCTTTGCTTCCATTTGAAACGTGAGATCGATCCCGGATGTTTCATTATCCGAACAAAGGATATACAGAAACTTGAGCATCGTATCAATCAACTACAACACTGAGACATTCAAGGTGGGGAATTCCCCTATAATTACCCCCCCCCCCTCCTCTACTTCTTTAAAAAAACAATTAATTATAGAACATCTAAAGGAACAATTACTACCTAGTTTTACAGAAAATTATCCAAACAAACGATATCCAGAAACTTGACCATCATATCAATCAAACTACAACATTAAGTCATTCAAGGTGGGGAGTTCCCCTATAACCCTCCCTCCAAAAAACAATCAATGTTTACTGTTATTTACTATGGATATGCTTTAACTGTTGCTAGGGAGGACAAACATACTTGCTTGTCCTACCTAACAACACAGAATATATAAAATTCACATTCTGAAAATTAAATACAATTATTCATAACAGGTGAATAAAATAATTGTAACCAGGCAAAGATTTTTGCATCAACATTGTTTACATTACAAAAATGGACTATTCAATGAGCACACTTAATCAAGCATTGCTCTATCAATATGTTCAAGTATTTTCATATTTTCATTAATTTCGTAAAATTAATGTATTTTTATATTTGCATTTTACGAAATTAATGAATTGAATATATCTTTTTTTTTAAAATAAAGTAGGATACATGCTTGGAAAGACACACCTAAGGGGTAATGCAATCACCCAGTGCTCAACTGCTATGACTAAGTCCATTATACGATTCCCAGATGAACTGCGGTTGACTTATTTCTGCTAAATAGACAGTGACATTATACAACTTTTCACACCTTGGCTCACACCATCCTTTGCTTCTGTTCATTGAATCATTAAAAATATAAATCTGTCCCTGAAGTTCAAAAGCCACAATGATATTACAATTGAAATCTTTCATAGAAGAGCTAGCTTGCCTGATTAAACAGGTGGAAACAGCTGATCCGATGTCATAATAATCAGAATTGCACTGGTTACAGTACCTTCTAGAAAGAAATATGGTAAACAATGACGAGGAATACAGAAAAGGAACACTCTTAAAGTGTGTTTTAAGGGGAAAAACAGCTGGGGGCTTGTAACACAAAGCTATAATGGTCGCATGGTCAATAGACCATTTTTGCAATGTAATCAAATTTAATGCACAAAAGTTTGTCCTTCCTAGCAACAATTAATGTATGTAATTTGCATTCTGACTATTGAAATACAATTATTCCTAACAGGTGAATGAAATAATTTGAAACATGGCATTTAACAAAGATTTATAGATTTGATAACATTACAAAAACGATGTTTGGTTAGGGAAAGGATGGGGGTTCTCCTAATAAGAAAAGAAACATAATGCATACATGCCAACATTTGAAAATCAGAAATCTGTACAAATTATGCTATTTTCAAAAAAAAGAGGAACAATCCTAACTCTCCTATTCAATACTACAGACAAATTTGTACAGGAAGAGGAACACCTGCATTAAAATGATAATTATCTTCTCCCAAAAAGAGGAATGTTCCTCTTTAATCTGAACAGTTGGCATGTATGATAATGTAGTCATTTGTACATCCATTTTACCACTTCCATCATACCCTAATGCTAGGTGAACAGAATATGTTGTTTTATTTACAGAATATTTGTTAGTTTGTAATTAATACACTCAATGAGGAAGAGACTCAATTGATTCATGGTACCATATACATAGCTCTACTGACAAAGATTACCCTTGGCCATTTTTTTATAAAAACTTCTTATCAACAACAAATGCTTAATATTCTATGACAAATTTCCTCTCAGCCAAGCAAATTCAATGATTTCACTAGCTTCTAGCAGTTATGGTAACTTGTTATCGATAGTGAGTTTTTATAAAGCAGAGCTCATTTTGATTACTTCTGCAAATACATTTACAAGCCGATACAAACATCAGTAACAAAAGCATCTACGTAAAATTTGTAACAGACCTAACCTAAACAGGTCAAGTTTACTTTGGCTGGTACAATTACTCTCTTTTGCCAGAAAAAAAGCATGCTTTCATAGTGCCAAAATAAATTGATCGGAACATATCAAATATCTCTTAGCATATTTGCCAAATAGTTATTGCCCAAGAAAGGGTGAATGGTGAACAGCTTGGACTGTATATACATGTATATTTACTTTGCACAAATCCCCATAATATTGTATCAACAAGGATAATTTGCCATGGACAAATTGATCGGAACATATCAAATATCTCTTAGCATATTTGCCAAATAGTTATTGCCCAAGAAAGGGTGAATGGTGAACAGCTTGGACTGTATATACATATATATTTACTTTGCACAAATCCCCATAATATTGTATCAACAAGGATAATTTGCCATGGACAAATAATGAATGGTTCAAGCAGTTTACCGTCCTGTCACAAATTGTTGGCTCTATCACTTCATATTTGGTACATTTGAGAATGGTGAACAGCTTGGACTCAATATATATATATACATATTTATTTACTTTGCACAAATCCCTATGATATTGGATCGACAAGGATAATTTGCCATGGACAAATAGCGAATTGTCCACACAGTTTACCGTCCTGTCACGAATTGTTGGCTCAATCACTTCATATTTTGATACAGGGTACTATACCATAAAGGGACTATCTTGACAAGACCGCCCTAGTATTTTATGGTACCCTTCATTCCACATACCGGTATAAGGATTTGCATCTCTGGCTTCTCTGCTGTATTTCAAATTTGTATGTGTGAATAAAACTGAACGTGTAAATAAAATTGAACTTGAAAAACATAAATACAATGTATTTTGCCTGTAGATGTGGATCTGATTCGATTTCAATACAGACCATGGTATATTTTGTATATATTTAATCCAATACTTCTTCTTGGTTAATCTAATCGTTGATTTGCTGTGAATTCAGACAACAGTGATTGCAATAATGTAACATTTGTGGGCATTTTTTTCTCACTTTGGTAAAAGAACATTCCTTTATTGATAAATCATCTTACATCAGTTTTTTCTTCATGTTTTCATGTACATTTTGTTATTCATTCTTTTATTATTTTTTGTTAGGGGGAGGAGGGGGGGGGGGTGGGAACAAATGTTAAAATGTTGGACCTTTTCCCCTACAGTTTGTTAGCTATGGGTACAAATCTAACACTGACTGAACATCACAAAGCACTGGGATAAATCTCTATCATGACAAACCTCTATGAATACAAGGGGGTCATAACCTACCCAAACTATTTTGTGAAGGTAAACCTATGCATATGTATAAGTAAGATACAAGTTCATTTATTCTCAAACAGCACAATGCTTCTCTTTATCTAGTTTTTTTAATACAAAAAAGCACCTGACACTAAAATATTGTCAATGAAAGTTTAACAATGGAGACATCTTTCATTTGTAGGACAGTTACAAAGAGATCTTTGTAAGTTACAGGTGCAGGACATATATGACAGGTAACAAAAAAGGATTCCTCCCCAAAAGCCCCCTCTTCATCTTACTTTCAAGTCGTATTCTCTTCGCACAATGGAATTGTTCGAGCTGCTTTACGATGGTTGATTAACGAGGGGGCAATTTGTCACCTCGTTCAGACATCATTTCATCTTCGTTTTTATGTTCTCTCCTGCAATCCTGAATGTCCTTCGCGCTCGGTTTCATAATCCTTTTGTTAAGGGTATGAAGGGGAGGATGGTTTTATATATTGTCGCGTGTACCGTTCCAGACACGCTCTCTCACTTTGTCGTAAAATGTAAAAAAATCTGGAGGGTCATTTTTCATCTTTCTGTCTTTCGTTGACATGGGATGGCCCCAGGTTTCTGCCGAGACATTTTTTTTCTTCTCCCAGTGGCCTACACTTGGCAACAGTAACAATGGCACTTGCGTTTACATATGTCACAAACTTTGGAGATTCTTTAGAGAAGAATGCACTGTTTAGATTTGTTTTGGTGATGAATCACCAGAATTTCCCGCCTAAGACCATTTTGAAATACACGAAAACTGCAATAAAAGCATCTTGGACAGACATTTGAATTATTTAGGAGTAGTTAGACAATGTAGTTATCTTCAATACTTGATCAGATGAATTTGGGGCTGTAAAAAATGGTAATAAAGTTTGTGGTTTCTGGAATACACAAACGTAGCACATGAAATAATCTGTTGGGACAAGCTGATGTCTGGAAAAAGTGCAACTTCAACTTATCCTGAAATATCTACATATATTACAAACACATTTGTAACTTTGACCATCACTGACTGCTCCAGCCTTAATCACTTTCTTTCTCTCGAGGTCTTTTGACCACTAATATGCTTTGGCCACCACCACCCCTATCACAACCCTTATTCCCAACATCAAAAACTAGGACTACCATGATCACCATGACCATCTATACCATTGGTATAGGAGATAAAGCAATATTATCACTACAACAACCACATAAAATTAATCACTATCACTACCATTATGAGTACAACTACCATTACCATCATCATCACCACGATCACCATCACTACTACCATCATCATCACCACCACAATTATCACCATCACACCTGCCATTATATACCACCAATATCACTGCCACCATCACCATCATCATCAACATCACCTCCACCTCCACCAACGCCAACGCCATCGCCATCACCACCACCACCACCACCACCACCACGCCCACTGCCACACCTACTGCCACACCCTTTCCTACCACTTCTTCTTACCTGGGGAGTGTATTGCAGGGGGTCTTGGTTTGAGGGGAATGTTATTGAAGCCCCCCTGTAGTATCCTCCGAGGGGGCAGGGCAGGGGGGAATGTTCTTCTCGTTGTAAGCATCGGAGGCTGAGAAGGAAATGGTCGCCTGGAGTTTGGAGAAATAGTGGAAGAGCATATTAAACATACAAGAAATATAGTAGTTCTCATACTTACCCTTAAAGGGATCGTTTAACAATCTTAAATCTGAGATGCATGGCCCTACGTGTTATCAGTGTCTCTGATATGGTGTTATATTGAGGCCCTAAAAAAAATTCGCTTCAAAATGATCAAGAAGTGCCTCAAAAAAGTTTAAAAAAACCTTTGAGTGACCGGTTTACCATACTTGTTTTCTCCAATAGACTGAAGTGTTATGAAAACCGTTTGGCAAAGGCAAAATTTGATTTCGATTTTCAATCTAAATATCTTGATAATCAGACAGGCGATCGGCTTGTAAGAGTCATGGGGTTCCTGACTGACCTAAAGGTTTATAATTGTCATTGCAGCATGAGCTAAATCAACAATTTTTTTAAGGAATCTAAGACAAAGTTACTGGATCCCTTTAATCATATCAAAGAGAATAAGATCATATAAATGACATGCAAAAGCAGGGGAAGATCCCAGATTTTCAATGGGGGTGGGGCGTGCAATGCACAATGCCCCAAACTTAAACATTAAAGGTAGCAAATTTTGTAGCTGTCCTGTACATCAATTCAATTTCAAAAGGGGGAGCATGGCTAGATTGTTTCCCAAAATTCTGTACAAACAGTCCTCTTCTGATACTTCTAATATCTTATGATTCTTTCACAATAAGCACGAAATGTCTGCAAGTCATATTCATTTTGCTTAGACTGGTGGCATCTTGTGAAGATGTGCTTGAAGTAAAGTGGATTCTATATGTACTTCCGGCAAAACTTTTAGTAGGTGTAGCAAAAGAGTGCCTAGCTCAGTAGATTATTTTAGGTAGTGCTTGTAATTACATAAATTGCAACAAAAAAAAAACCTATTAAAATATTATGCTGTACATGCAAACAAGGTATATCTAACGATCGAGTACAAAATCTTTAACTTTTCAACTAATTGAAAGTTTGTGTTATACATGCGAAAAGTATTAAAGCCATACAGTACTAGAAGCACTGCCGCATTATCCCCTCTAGTGCCATCTCAGGTGAGCTGTAGCAGAATGACTGCGAAACATGCTGCTTCCTTGGTGCGATTTGATTATTGCATTGAGTCCTATCTGTTGGCAATCTGACCACGAGATGTGCAAGAAATTTTACGCTAGGGGACCAAAGTTTATCCGTTCAGTATCGCTTTAATACGTGGAATAGAATAACATATTCTTCCTACCTTTCTTGTGTTGTGTCTAACGACTGAGTGGTAGGTATGTTGTGGGGACTTCCCTGCATGCTGTGGACAGGGGAAGCATGATTGCTATAGTTTGATGCTCCTGTCGCCGTACCACATCTACTAGAATGTCCGCTGGAGTACATGCCTGAATTTGTGAGAGAAGATAGTTGAGAGACAAGAAAATGATGATTACAGATTTTTCTATGTTCTGGTGGAATAGGAGTGTCACAGTCATAGGCTCAAATCTGGTAATGATGGTTTGAAATCACTACGTTAAATGTAAATAACGGGGAATGTGGTGGTGACGGTTGTGGATAACGATGATAGTATTGTTGTTGAAGCTAATTGTAATAAAGGTGATGATGAGGAGGAAGAGAAGGAGGAGGAAAAGAGAAAGGAGAAGGACAAGGAGAAGGAGGAGGAGGAGATAGAGAAGGGGAAGGAGGGGGAGGGGGGAAGATGGAGATGATGATGATGATGATGATGACGACGACGACGACGACGACGACGGTGGTGGTGGTGGTGGTGAAGGTGCTTGAGGTTCAGGTGGCTTTGTCAATGACAACAATAACAATAACAATGACTGCTAAAAGTTATTTCCATTACAAGATCATCTACTTATAGAGCCACAAGGGCGATAATTCATATATTCTTTTACAGAGTTATATTGCCCTTCTGGCTCAACAGATGAACTGTCATGTCATGATGGAGTACTCACCAGGATACATATCTGAAGAAGTGCCATGCATTGAGGAGTGAGGTGATCTACCTAAACCACTATCACTGAGTTCCAGAGGACTGTCTCCGTGGCTTAGGGGATGGAGGGGTTGAATCGTCAAGCACTCCCCAAGCATGTCACCATGGATGTACTCATCTCTTGTTCGAAGCTACAGAAATATAAGATTGTAATTATTGACAAGGTTAGTAGTGAATAACCAGTACCGGTACTCCTAAATAGAGCAGAATGTTTAGAATAGTATTCAATTGTATCACATTTCATACCAAGGGCCTAAACAACCAAATTCCTACTGAAAGCTAAGACTCCCCCTTTAAGTAGACATCTCATAACGGGCTGCCACTGAGAACAATAAGTGACATTATAACAACTTTGGTATTATGAATCTATTTTGGGATTAGTAAAGTTATTAGTAATGGTATCCATATTTATCTGATTATAAATAAGTGTCATGACATTGCAAAGTCTAAAAAACGTCCTCAAGAACTCAGGGTTGGATACAAGTTTCACTTCATCATGTTTTCTTCAGAATAGTTACTGGCATAACCCAGACAACTTTCTCTCTTAAGTAGCAACCTTCCTGGTAAACATAGCTCAGCATCCTTGGTGCCTGCACTGCTAAACTAGGTCAAGAGATACATACATGCAAGGAACATTAGCTTGTATTCACTTTCAAAGTGAGTACCGAAATATCAACCTGAATGCTTTCAAATATTGGATTTGATAAGAGGTATCCACTTTCAAGACTCTCGGCGGGGTTCAACCCAGAGTGAAAGCTCGCGCAAACTGGTTTCTTCCTCAAGGAGATAATGTGATTTTCACTTCCCGATCCCTTATGTTACACATCCCAAGGACATCTAACTTATTGTGTACCGAAAAAGGTGCTAAGTGGTAATGCGAGGTCGCGACCTCTAAATTGATCAAACTTCCATTTTTTTCTCTCTTCATGTATTTACATTTTGTCTTTTTGTCTGCCAAGATCCCGTTAAGACGAGTGGATCGATGCTGCACGGGAGTCGGTGCATAAATTACCCTTCCGTGCACGGGAGCTCCGTTTTGGATTTTCGAATGGAAGTGGTAGATTTCCTTAGGGTGGGTTTTATATTGAAACAGCATTTAATATCAATGCAAGAATGTCTACTCCAACAGTTAAAATCAAGGCCATTTGAAAGGGGTTATGGCTAGCCAACAAAGCTGCTTTTCTAGGCACCTATGATCATCCCCCCATTCCTCATTTTTATCCAGCAGAGTAGCGATAACCTTATTTTATTCTTTTCACCCTCCACCAAAACAATAACAATTTTCCCAGGGTAAGTAGCTTAGAAGTAACTTGAAACAAAGGAAACTTGGCAAAGATTTCTTTAAGAGCATTTCTGCACACACAGCATTCTGGTTTGTCTTAACATCTACATACCAGCTTTTGCTAAAGATGTGCTACGTACCCCCCTCTAAATGAAATAGTTTACAAATTTCTTAATCTTGCTAGTCTTCTCAGAAAATTATAGGCATAACATATGAAGGGCCCTGATCACCTTTTAATTTAGCATTCTGTTCTCTCTATTCTTCAGCTTCATATTAACTATTAAGCGGCGGAATTAAGGGTGTTATATATATTCTTGTACCCCCATGTTAAATGAAAAGTTCGATCAGGCCGTTCTGGCACTATAGTATGAAGCTGACAAAATTATCTTTCATATCTGCATGCTACCCCCCCCCCCCCACTCTCCTACTCCAGCCTCCAACCTCCATTGAAGTGGATGAAAACTTGTCTACTATATAAAGGTTAGGGACATTTACACCACAAGCAAAAACCCTGGATTTTGTTCTCACATTCTGGGGTTTCATTGAACAGCTCACCCAAAATACCAGAATTAGCGGAAAAAAAACGGCATTAAAAAAAATGAAAATGGCAGTTGAAGGCTTTTTCTGCAGTGTAATTGGGCCTGTTTATCAAGCTTCAACAGATTTTCAACTCTTCTTTATCAACTCTAAAAATAATTTCTGAACAATTTATGTCTTAGCAGGGCACCCAATTATGTTTGTCACGCAAGATGGATTGTTATCAACATTAAATTTAGAAGAGATTATTGTCTTCTGAGAAATTGATCTATATTTTGACACGGTCACACTAGGACCTACAGATCATATTCATATAATCATATTGAATGATAGTTTTGAAGTCCACAAAAAAAGTGCATCAGAAATTTAAAGGAGCAATTGGTATCAAGAATTTTGCCATTTGTAATAAAGATAACCTATAGAAATCTATTCTGAAGAGACAATATTCATTACCAATATAATACTACATTAAAACAAATATTTGGTCAAGATCATCATCCCACGATATCTTGGGCTGGTTTGCAAAATATCCTGCTTTTTGTCCGGTGCGTCTTCACCAGCCCAAAGACTCACACGATTAATGCGCAAACGCTGAGCAAAATATCTCAAGCTAATTTCTCGACCTCGAGCTGATTAAGACGCGATTTGTAACTTTGGGCTTTATATTTCCCAGATCAGAAATAGCGGGCTATTTGGCAATCTGGAGCTGATGAGGACATATTTTATGACATTTGCCGGCATTGTTAGTCTTACCTTTTTTCTTGCTTGTTGCTCCTTTGCAGCGTGAGCTTTGACATGTTTTCTCAGAGAACTGGGATCCGTATATCTCTTCGTACAACCGGGAATTTGACAGGCATAAGGTTTCTAAAAAATGGAAAAGGAAAGAAAAAGTGGAGAACAATGAAATGGATGAAGAGACAAAGATCTCCGCTATGCTTCTATATGGCTTTTGCTCTTTCTGTTTGATGGTCTAAAAAAGATAACAAGTTTCAATAATGTAGATCTATTTGGGAAGATTTACAAACGAATTCGCTACAATCAACAGGTAACAAACAATATTAATTCAGATATCAAATATCTTTTAAAATCCTTTCATCATTTATTGAATATATTTCAGATTGGAACCTTTGAATATTGCTACCCCAATAACCTTCCCTAAATCTACCATCAACTTCACAATAAATTCAGATGCTTTCAACAGCATACAGTGGGGTTTCACCATGGATATACTACCACAAACTGGAGTACATCCTTGGTTTCAGAACTTGGAACAAGGCCTGTGAAACTCATTGGAAAAAGCTGGGCACGTGCCACAAATTGAGATTGATAACTGCTACTTAACCCATTTTATTGGGAGGCAGTGCCAAGATGAGGATAATGATAAAATCAGGAGTCTGATATGTCTACTCTCATTACAAAATACACGTCTTTTTGAGACAACTTTGGAGGAGTATGTGTGTCCTACATTCATATGTATGTGTCCGTTGTTCGTGGGATAATTAAAAGTATGAAGATACACTCACAACATGGTAGCCTGTACCCATACAGAAGAAGAAGAAGAAGGAGAAGAATTTTGGTGGAAATTTGTCCTATGCATAGTGTGTGTTCATTGTTTTGGGGAGAACTTTAGGGGAGAACTTTAGGGGAATTGTGTCCTACCCTTATATTTATTCTTCCTAGAAATCAGACATTTTATTGACTGATTGATTGATTTATTGAATGAATTTATTTAATAACATTAAGCCGACATCAGCGTAAAGAATATGCTTTTCAGCAAGTCAATGAAACAAAAACATGAAACGAATCGTAGAGACATTAAATTGGATATTAATGCTATCTTTAATACTATCACCCCCTGATAAGAGCAATACTTGGAAGGACAATAACTAGCGGTATATAAAAGATATGAGTCAATGCACTTTTGGATCTCAAAAGACGAGATATCATTATCACAGTATTCACCCTTGAGGGACTTGACTTGAAGACCCCTTAACCCTCCCCCTGCCACAAAGCCCTATTATGCCTTTGATGTTGGGTTCTGCACGTTGCACATAATGGTGTCATAATAATGCTGACATGGTTGAAGTTCTGCGTTTCAAAATGGCGCGGTTCTCCGATTGCCCCTTTGCAAATAGTCATTCAATTGTAATAATGTTGTATGCTAGTCAAGGCACACTGATTACAGTGAATTAGTCCATTCAATTCTAGAGAGAAGGTCTATATGAAGAAACGTGACCATTCTTTCATCATGATGGCGATAGATAACGATCTCTTGCACGACGGCTACTTTTTTTCTTTAAGAGAACGATTGGGCGGAGCTTCATTTTCACCATGGCAACAGCAGCTCGCAGACAAGACGAAACATTCGCCTGCATTCACATTGAATCATACGACACCATGGATGGCCGATTTGCCATTGATCTTTATCAGAGCGATAAAAATCGGATCTCTTGTTGGACTATTGTAGAGTTACAATGCCTCGTGCTGCAACAAACAATATCTTGAAAGTCAATATCTTCAAAAAGAATGAATCAAATCTCCACAGTGTGATGCACCTATTGAACTATTTAACAGCAAATCATCGAAACAGATAAATAAATGCATCCCTGTAAAGTTACTTATAGCCTGATGCAATAGAAAACAAAAATCTGTTACAGTTGAAGTGACTGGTTATTGGCAGTGGGACATGGATCATAGTTATAAAAAGAGTATGAACCAAACTAAATATTTGCTAATCATCATGGTGTGATGGATCTCTCCTTCAATTTCACTTCCAGACGAAAGAACTTCTTGATAATGTTTTAAAATCCTTTACATGGTTTTGAAGAATGAAATGACACGAACGCAAATATTTGTCAATTATGTTGGATGACAAGATCTCCGTGAAGAAGACTAAACCTCAATATGTCACTAAACTTTTAGATATAAATATATTACTAAACTAGAGAGTTTTTCAAATCACCTTTGTAGGAGGTATGACTCGCTGTTTTCTCTACCCCATTTTTTCTTTCAAATTTAATGTTTTTAATCTTTATCCACAAAACAGAGTCTGACGTGACAAGAGTCCTTTAACCCAGTTTCTCTTTTAAGACACGTCTTCACTTTGTTTTTCCCTACACTGACATCCAGAGAATCAGTTATGCATAAATTTGCACTTTTCTGAGCAAACTTTGAACCGAACTAGTTTTAAAATGTGATATTTGTGTTTTTCATGCACACTCATGACCATAATAATGATACTTGTGCAATATGGATACTGTCTTTAGGAAAATTAGTTAAACACAGTATGGATTCATTATTCAACTATATACTTACCCAACACAATAACACAAAAATCTGATTGGTTTGCCTTCAACAAAGATTGAATGTAAATTGAGTTGGATAAATACTGAACACAAGTCGCAAAAACTCCAAACACTCATCATCATTCCTCAGCTTCATTGAGAGAATCAAATATTTATGTTTTCATCACAAATCATCGCTCCTTTCATGAATACATCTGTTACCCATCTAAGAACATTTGACCCGGGCTTAGTAATGATGAATTCATCATCCCCGAAATTCAGCCAAATCCGTATTGGTTTCAATTGCATCGGCTAAGTGCCTGCAGATTATTCCCACACAATCCTGAGACCTTAATAGCACGCAGTCACACTTGAACCCAAAAGACTAAACTCTCAAACACTGCAGTTTCAATTTCCTTTCCCAATATCGTTTTTTCTAGAAGTGTACACTTAATTACGACAACAAAAATGTTTCAATACATCTATAACTTGAGTGAAGAAGCATTAGAGTATAACTTCCTGAAAATTTACTATTTAGTAATAGAGCATGTCAAGGGAAAATGGTTAGGTCACTTTCAAATATTATCGAACAACTGTCAGCTTGGTTGAAGATCTACTTTTTTTAAAGGTACACCTTGTAATTTCTTTTCTTTGACTGCTTTTTTTTTTTAAGGAACTAATCATTCAGCTGTTCAATGAAGTACTAAACTCTGCAGAAATCACCAATAAATGCATCAATAAAAATAAAGCTGTGACAAAGTGGTTACCTAGTGGTAACAAAAGCTGTCACATGAGGTTTACAGGTACAAATTGCTTGCCTCTAATGGCACAATTCAATCATTGCAGAGATCAAGAATGAAAGTGCGCTCAGTGCATCCACATTTCTGTTCATATAAATAAACTTGATTGGAAAATCCCCAATCTCTTAGGTCAAATAATGGTAGAAAATGGACAAAATGGAAGAAAATCTCTCACATCATCTGTAACAGATATTTTGATTGGCCAGGTCACAAATTATACCTGTTAAGATTCAAACCAGCCGCTTATGGGTATGGTGAGTTTTTTGGGAGGGGGGGGGGTGGGGGGGAGGTGGGGGGGGAGGTGGCACAAAATGTTGCAAGAAGAGGAAGGGTTCAGCCCATTGCTCTGACCCAATGTTGGTCTGGTCAGAGGTATTACGAGACAATTTTAAATGAAGAAGGCGGGGAGGGGGGAGTTGTCGGACCATTGAAGAAAGACAGCCAATTTAAATAATGACTTTGCCAACATAAAATGTATAAGGTGGGGGAGGGGGGGGGTGTCATATCCCATGCCCCCATCTTGCAATGCATCTGAATCTTGTTCAACAATAGAGATATTACCTTGTGAAGAGTCGCTTTTCATTAATGAGGGAAAGAATATGATAGTCTGCAGAAAAGCTTAGTGAGAAATGTATGTGGGAGGGGGGGGGGGGTAGAGACAATAAGAGGCGCAGACAATGAAACTCAAACCAGGATGAAAGGGAGGGGGGTTCAGGCAGTAACTATCTGACATATAACAGGGTGTGGTGACAGCTAGTAGAGGAATTCAAAACGGTCACCATCTGAAGTCTGAAGGGGCGTGGTGAAGCATTAAAAAAAGGGGTACAAAAGTGACCACCTGCTGAACTAGTCATGGGTGTGACCACTGGGAACTGACCACTAGAACAGGTGAGAGCTTGAACATGTGTCCAGCCAAAACTGACCCAAAGAAATAAGATACAAAAATCCTCACTATAATATAAACTGCAACCAAAATATCAATCATATAAAAAAAGTAAATATTAATATTGGTCATCAATTTTAGCCCGCTACTCAAGATCAATCTGTCTTGTACTATGCCCTGGCAATTTTACAGCTATTGGTTTATGCAATGAGGTAACTTAAATTCCTCTTCTTTCCATCAATAATAAAAGCACATATTTCTCTTGTCTGGATAGTAATACATTTAGGCCTAGTTGGTGATCGCCAGACTTTAATAGTTGAAACTTCTGAGGCTTCAGAAAGTTCTATCGCTGCAAGAAATACTTGAACCCCCCCCCCCCTTTATCATGTCATGACGCAAAATAATTATAATTTTACAGTTATCATCAATATCGAATTCTATAGAATATTCACTATACATGTACATTACTCCTCCACTGCCTTTAAAATTGCGTTTGAAAATAGAATTTGGTCAGCTCACGAGTATGTTATCAACAGGTGCCAACATAAGATGGTATGCTGGTATCTATAGCTTCAAAATTATTCCACCGACTATTCAAAGACATTCAGAAGCATGAGCAGTAGAGGTCTAACAATTTAACTTTATCTCATATTACCTAGCTTTTTAAATAATGAAGATATTACTCCAAGATCATGAGTGCTATGACTTCAACAAGAATTTATTTTGTTCATTGCAGAAAGGAAAGCAGGACTAACGATTCATATCAAGCATTCATATTCACCCATAATATAATGTAATATAAATTGTTTATCTCATTAAAAAACTTGTATAATTTGTTCATCTTCTGATATGAGAAGTACATATACAGTAGTTGATTTAAAAGACAGGTACTGCCACAAAAATGTATGGATTTCTCTTCATTTCAATACAGAAATTAGAGGTCTATTCTGCCACAAAAAGATACAGATTTCTCTTGGTTCCATGAAGAAATGGAGGGTATATTCATCAATCTATTTCAAATGCAAAAAAAGTATTTTAGAGTATTTGGGAGAAGACAGGTGGATGAAATACACATCAGAGTAGGTGTCTGTCTGATGACGGTACTGGATGACGACGTGCAGAAAAGCCAACAGATAATGACAGGAGGATGATTGAGCAACTTTGCACCTGATGAAAAGGGCCATTACTCTAAAGAAAGTTGCAGTCACGTTTCAAAAGCGAGTCAACTTTTCGACTTCTATTTGCCAGATATTTCCATCAAAGAAGACCACTATTTGCACAGCTTCAATTACAAGCTATTAAGCACCTTTAGTGAGGTATCATGCATGGCAAGCGCAAACAGAGGGACACACTTACACCACAGGGGCTCGCTTCGTCTTTTCGGGGGTCATGAAAAGCAAGGCACGACCTACCTAATGGTGACTCTTTTGTCAAATTTTGGTTAATGTTCCTCAAATTTAAACAGTCCTGGTTGAATGCTGGAACAAAGTCAGACAAAAGCAACTGATCCTAATCTTCCTACGTTTCTCTTTCTTTCTTGTTCCTTTGTGCGGGCGCTGACAGATATTCAATCAAATGTAGGTCAAGATCCAATAATGAGCTGGGACAGAGACGAAACGAGGACAGCTAATTCTCCAATATTTCTATCTCTATGAAAAAAATGGCAGAATCTTTAACCTTGACTGCATCTTTTCATTCAAATTTTTCATTTTCTTCTTGGTTTAAAAAAATATTAAAACATGTTAAGTCATGGACCATTGGTTCTCTTTTCACTTACAGATTATACGGCAATAAAGAAACATGGCTAGGTTGCCTTGAAATGCAAACAAGCTGTATAGAGTCATCAAATCTCAACATAAAAAAATAATATAGCTATTGCAAAACAAAAAAATCAGCTATTATGAATGGTACAGAAGATTAAAGAATCAACAGACCCATGGCTTGAAATGAAATAGAGCATGGCAAAAGTTGGGTCAACCAGAATCATGATGTAGGGGGATTATTATACTTTTTAAAAAATTCAATGATTCATTGAAAATATAGAACCAAAGTGGAAATTACAATACCCCCAGGGCAGATAAGAGCTTACGTGGTAAATCTTTTTTTCCTTCTAAAATGCCCCTCTATCCCTTTGAGGACTTTTTTCTTTCAAAGATAGTGACCACCCCTATCATTGTCTTGGCTATACCAGTGGAGTCAATGCAATTTCAAGGTGAATTTTACACAATATCCCTCTTGTCACTCTTCGAACAGGCCCTGCAATTAATAATACATGAGCAATGGCCAGGTATCTGTTTACACCTGGGTGGAGACGGGCAAATATAGATTAACGTCTTTTCAAGGGACGTTAGAGTGTGGGGCTGGGATTTGAACCCTCAATCATTGGATTGTAAGTCAAGTGTATGAACTACTATACCATGACACCCACCTCCATCATGTTCTTACAAATGTTCTTAACGTATCTAGATGAGTTCTCTGATGCTTGGCACGATCAGAGGCATTTCTGAACGCTAAATACTTTAGTGTCGGGCTGGGATTTGAACCCTCAATCATTGTATTGTGAGTCGAGTGAATGAACCACTAGACCATGACACCTAGCTCATGTTCTTACAAATGTTCTTACCGTATCTAGATGAGTTCTCTGATGCTTGGCACGATCAGAGGAATTGCTGAATGCTTTGGAGCATCCCGGATGCTGACAGAGGTATGGTTTTTCACCCGTGTGTGAGCGGAGGTGAATCTTGAGGTTTTCCAGACGGGAGAATGCTTTATTGCAACCTTCAAACTGCGGAAAAAAGAAAAAACAGAGAAGAAAAATAAGAATTACATTTAGCAGGATTACAATATGATACACATTTATCAAACTAAGTTAGAAGGGCATTTGGTAGAAATTATCAATGGAGGACACTTTCATTTCAATTAGAATTCATAAATCTTAGAATTATGTGCACCCCCCCCCCCAAGAATGCTTTATCAAACTAAGTTAGCATGATCCTGGAACCATTCCTAATTTCCTAGCAACAGAAATAAAGTTTAAAACATATTGACTACTACTACTACTTAATTAGGCCACTGTCCTATCAAAAATCCTTTCATTTCTTGAATGACTTCAGGAAACTTACTGGTTTAAACAAATAATCTGATCTCAATTTTTTTAAAATATGAATTCTCATATCTCTTCTTGAATTTACATAAATAGCATTTCTGAAATATGAGAATTCATTCTCATATCTCTACTTGTAATATATTACTTGAATAGCAAATCCATTTATGATGGATAAATGATAGGTTAATTTATCAAGTGATAAATCCGCGGATTCGAAATGAGGAAGGGGGTGGGGGGCGAGGTCAACCAAGCAATGTTTTTCAATCAAAGTATAAAATCTCACAAAATAGTTAGATAAAGTACTGGTAAAATTTACATTGAATCCAATAGTAAATGCCATACATATCACATAACGCTTGTGTATATGCTCTTTTCTCAAAGTACCACAATCTTGTCAAACCCGTAAAGTGCATGTGCACCTTCGATGCCGTTTAACAATGTGGCTCCTATTATATCACGCCTGCAAAGGGATTTTATGGCAGTCAATAGTTGCCTAGCAACGTAAAGCAGATCGGTTTTCATGAGGGTTACAAGGTGCATAACATATTCCTCCTCCACTCCTTTCTTCCTTCTCTCCCCCTCTCTATCTCTCTCTCTCTCTCTCTCTCTCTCACTCTCTCTCTCTGTCTCTGTGTCTCTGTGTCTGTCTGTCTGTCTGTATGTCAGTCTGTCTGTCTTTCTCTTTCTCTTTGTCAAGATCTTCCTGGAATGCCTTTTTGTGATCTGCTCCACTTTGTTCCCATTTATCCTGACCGCAACATGCTGTAGATCCTGTTCCTGGTTGATTAAGTTTTGTTTCTTCTTAAGTTCTTTTCCGACAAACTCAGAACTTTTTAACTTGTAGTTCAAACACAATATATGAACTGACGTTACAGTGCAAAAATTCTGTGACGACAATTCATCTATTTTGTTTAAACTACATGTTAAAAACTTCTGAATTTGAGTGAAAGAAAAATTGTCCAGAACAAAATTTAGTAATCTTTTTCCCAGGTTTTTAAAACATTTATACTCAAGTCCTATCGATATACTGACAGAAAAATAATGCTTCTCCCCTTCTGATTCCAAACGAAGACTACCAGATAAAAGCCCTCGCTGAGTCAATCTTTGCAACACACAAAAAAACTTTTTGTTGTCTTCTTTCTTCGGAAGACGGTGGGGGATGAGACAAAAGGGGGTGATATTTGAGCCAATTAGGGCATTCTTGCAGTGACTCCGGGGTCAGAAAAGACACAGCAAGCTAGCAACATGGGCAAAAAAAAACACATTCACTCATGTGTTCTCACTGGTACATACGTAACTATGGATTATTTTGTTCTTCATGTATATTATAATCTTGCAATATGTGGAAATATGAAAAAAGAGGCTGAACTGATCTGAAGTACTGGAAACGCTGACAATGATGGTTGGTTTCACACTAATTTCAATTTGAAGAAAGTTGTTCAACATTAATTCATAGTACACTTACAAAAATTACATTTACAGAATATCTAGCAAGAAGAATGACTCCCATTTCAATTTTAGAAGGCTGAGTATTAACTTTATTTCACCTTTAAGATAATAAATAATTTCACCTCTCTCTACAATATAAAACATTGAAAACTACAAAATTACAGAGAAAAAAAAGGGCAATTTGGTTCTTCGAAACTCCCCAAACTAGATTGTATATGAATACAACTTTCAAACACAATGAACAAAATTCTTTGATTTACTCTTTGAAATAACATAATGATTTATTGCTATGGACTCCAACTTAGCATCAACAGAAGACAAAAAACTGTTCAGCCATATAGACAAGGGTATAACATTAGGCCTGTCTTCATCAGCTCAAGTTTGCCAAATAAACCCGCTATTTTCAGACTCTGGATATTATCCGGAAGCGTCTTCACCAGACCGATACGCTCATCACAAACTAGCTCAGACGGGCACAAATTAGCCTGCTGTTTCCGAAATAGCAGGATATTTTGGAAACAAGACCAACATTTCTTGGGAAATTTTTTCAACCACATATCCTGCTAATTGCAACTGCAGGCTGATGACGCAAATTAACAGGCTAATTTGCGATCGGGATAGTTAAAATAGCGGGTTATTTGGCATACTCGAACTGATGAGGACAGGCCTAGTGAATTTTTGGCAGGCTTGAGGAAAATCAGATGCCAACATGCATGTCATGCAAGCATCCTACATGAATTACCCGCATGTTTTATAGACAGCAGTATTTGTGGTTTCAAACTGTCTGCAGATTAATCTTTCATTTACGAGAGAACATGACGGAATGTCAAGAGCTGCGTGAGTATACACAAACCTAGCCGTGACTCCATGCATCGATAAGAATATAATATACGCTATCTCTTCATTCTAAAGTAATGAAGAACAATGAATTTTCGGATGATAGATAAATAGCAAGAAGATGAGTATCAAAAATTCTCCCATGTGGGTTTCAACATGTACATATACTTTGTATTTATAATATAACTAAATAGAAAGCAAAGCAGAGATGTTTGGGAATCGCACTTAAACAAAATCTCAATAATGAATTGTGATCGGCTTCCTTTGAATCACATATATGTAATTAACCTGCACTTCTCTGCTCTCCCCAAAAGAAGCTTCTTTATATGACATTTCATATGATACGAATATAGTGCGTTTACGACCTTTCTTCATGTATATGTATGTATGACCTTTTACTGTACAAGTTTTCCTTTAATGTGAAGAAAAAACCGATGCATTTTGTATAAATGCATGCTCCTTGAAAAGCAGCTTTTGCAATTAAAAGTGGCTTCACCTGTCCTTTCCCCCTACTTTATGTAAAAATGTATTTATGATACAACATTTTTTTGTCAAATTAACATAGAAATGTGTTGATTTATGACACAAAAATATGTCAAATAGGCATATCAGTGTCATATTAGGCTGGCTTTGGTGGCTTTTTTTCATCACTGTAAAACATAGTCTTGGGAGAATTAGAGAGAGATCTCACATTCCAATGTCTTTATGTATCATCCAACTCCTTCATGAATATAATACGAACAAAGAAAAAGTGGCACCCGATGTTGGGTGTCGGGCTACATGTGCGTCACTCGAATTTGAAACAAACAAGCTCATCTTCATGTTCCTCAAAGCGGGAATAAGTGAAATTGGAATCATCCCGACTTTGACCTTTGACCTCATGATGTTGTCGGTCACTGACTCCGCAGATCATGTTGCTCTAGATGAGCAGAAAGTGTCAACATATGCCAGAGATAAACACCCAGTCAAAATATTGAGCCATCTGTTTTTCAGCCATATGTAAATAACTCCATAGAACAGATCTATTCTCAATTGCCATTCTACAAAAGAAATGTCCTACACCTGTGAAAAGTTCATGAAGTTCATATGAAAAATAGAGCTCCATCTTATATTTTGCATCAGAGTGTGAGACCATATTATCAAATAACAGTGCTAATATTAATCTCTGAAAGACTTTCAGCTTTTCTCTCTGTTTTCTGACAAATATTCAAATTTCATGCATCTTTGTATTTTGCTGCTTTTCTGTAGGGATGACTTGATGTTTTGTTTCCAAATATCAAAATAGACCAAGGACTTCCTTTAAGTTGAAATTTCAAATAAAAAAAAACTTAAAGTTGAAACACCCTCCAATCTTGCAAGGGTGAAATTTCATATTCGTTTGAGGTACCAAAGAAAGCGATCGATGCTATCACCTCAAAGTCCACTAAAAGACAATGGAACATTATCCCTCATCCAATGACGCACCTACTGACCCATGCCCGACCCACCGTTGACATCCCGCCATTTTTCAGCCCAAGACTTGTTCGGGCAAAACCTGATCTCTCTACGGTTTTTCTAATTTTGCTTCACAGCGGGTATTTCATTGGCAAAGGTCATTTCCACCTCAGAAACGGGAGTAAGTTTACCCTAAAAAATGGACACCCATGTTATCTGAGAGAGAGAAAGAGAGAGTAAAATGGACATGATAAGATGTGTGCCAGAGAGAACACAAGGGACAATTGTGAGACCTAGCTCGGCTGGTAATTCAAAATCCTGCAAGCCTGTTACTGAGAAAATCTGACAAAAGAAATAAAAATACATGTAATAATGTAAGCACTAAGGTCAGTTAATGGAAAAGTGCTTTCTAAAACACTAGAATTTTGTGTTCAGGAGAGAGTCATTACTCATTAATGCCTGTGATTCAGATTTACTGAAGTTTCCTGCTTCAAAATAACTGTATCATAACTGACGCAATAGTGAGCTTTTTGTTATGCTCTTTTTTTTTATCTTTATCAGTTTGTAAAAGTTTCATGGAGAGAAAAATTATTTGATTTCATTCAAAATACCATAATGACAATCAGATTTTTCCTATCTCGTAGATAGAAAATATGTGGGATCTACAGGCAATTCACCTGATAAGATTTTTTCTTTAAAGAATAGAGCACTGGAAAAGGGAGATATACTTTTCAAGAATTTTCTAATCCTTCTGTTATGACCAAAAGTAAAATCAAGACACTTGTGAAAAAAACTATAGAACTTTTGAACTTGTCTGCACAAAAATAGTTCTAACTTCTAGAATTTAACTCCAGGATTAAAGTGGCATCCAATTGTGGTAGGTATAAATCACTGGAATTGCATTTTTGCCACCCATTATCTGCAAATTGAAAATGACAGAGGTGAACTTTTGTGGCCAA